AAATATATTGAAATTAAAATTTAGAGACTAACCTTTTCTGAAGAAGTCCCTCCATGCCCGGTAATCCTCCATCAGTACCAGTGTCCTCACCACGTGCACCAACTGGTCTCCATGCTGCAATCTCTGCACCTGGTCAGCAGTCAGCACCCGGGACAGGGAATCAGACAGTCTACCGCTTGTGTAGGAGCCCCAGAAATGCTCAAAATTGGACTTAGTCTCAAAGTCCAGGAAGAAAATTAAGCAATCTTTGTACACTCGCATAACTCTAGCCCGTTCCTCTTCAAATTTGGCTTGAATTTCTTTATACTTTGTCTCTAAGCTTTGTTGTGACAGAAATGTGGCTAAATCCTTTAGTATTTTAACCTCCTTTTCTCGGTGTGTGTAAATAGGGTCAAGTTCGTCTTTTCTAAGTTCCATTTTCATTTTGCAGATTTTATTCCTTTCCTCTAAGGAGAGATCTTCCTTTGCGAGCTCCTGTTTTATTCTGGCCAAAAGCGTTGGATTCTGTATACTTTGTTCGTCAGGAAATTCAGTATGACTGTCTGAAGTACGTGAAGCTTCCGAGACTGCTATTAACATTGGACTGGGCCTTCCTGTAGAGAATAAAAAAGTAATCCTCATTCTTGTTTCATAACTCCATAGTAACAGTTAAGCAAGCTAGCATGTAATAGAGCCCAGTCCGGGACTCTTCTGGTTCTGTGCATATTATTTTCCTGAATTGCAAAAAGCAACAAGGAAAATCGTAGATTTTGTACCTCCGGGTATTGTAATGTATGTTGCAGAATGTTCAGGTGCATGTTGGGACTGTTCTTTAAATTAACTAGTGAATTCGCGCGAATACCATTTTTTTCGAAAAGTTTCGAAATGTTTGTAATTGGCTAAATGATCTGTGAAATCACTAATCCCCCCTAGCCGACTGGAGCCCAAAAATAGAAAGGACAGGAGGCATCCCGTGGCGAATCTGGCTGCCCGACCCTCAGCGACCAGCGATAATGTAAACAAACACCCACACAAACGGCCGCGTGAGAAATCAACTTGCTCTCGAAAATTTATCAAGCCGACCGCTTCCCCCCGCGGCTGCCATCCCTCCACACTTATCCCACACTAGTTCAAATCACGCTCGGTCTTCAAGTATATCTTAGTGGATGATGAAAATCAGAAAACAACACGGAAATCCCCACCGAAGTTCGAAAACACAGGGACTCAGCGGTCGAGAGGCTTTGTACAGACACCCGGCCAGATCCGGACGCGAGGAGAGCCAGGGCGCAAATCAGGGTCGGCGGGGCGTGTGGCTTTCCCTGGCCAAAAGATTATCGCTCACTCGCGGTAGGGGATGGCACCCAAGCTAGCTCCAGGATAACATCGGCGACCCCGAGCCGAGTGTGCTGATTGATTGGCGAAGATGTAACCGCAAATGGTCAACCCGCGCGACCATTTTCACACACTAACAACAGTAACGGGTGTCCGAGACACGAAATACAAATAATCTTACGCCCCAAAACACATATACAATAAAACAAAAAAACCCTGCACCATCTACAGCCCATTAACAGAAGATACACCGAGTCCCGTCTACCCCAACGCGAAATGCATGTCGAGAACGCCTGAGACGGTATACCACGGTATTTGTAAGTTAAGAAGTCGTACTATACGCAGAAAACATCCGAAATTGCGCAAGAGGGCGTTGACCCCTGACCCATTGGCCCACCCGGAAGTTGGCTGGCTGCGACCCGCGCGACCATTTTCACACTCGATACCTGAAACCCCCTCTCACCAGATGTGGACGCAACCTACGACACTTTATACACGCCGAAAACCAAAAGACAAAACCACTTTCACACACAAGGGGTGTCCATACGCTGTCAAAACGCATCATTTTCACGCACTAAAACACACATACTAAAAAACAAAAACAACGTGCACCATCTACAGCCCAATAGCAAAACGTATACCAAGTCCCAGACATATCCGTCCACCCAAACGCTAGAAACTGCTGCGAACGTAATTTTCGTCTTCCCCCACAAAACCTCCGCGCACGGGATACATCCCTACCCGGAGGTAATAATTGTAGTGATATACATGATATTGAGTCTGGACAAGGCAGCAGTTACATGGCATCAATATTCTGGTAACCTGAAACATATTCACAATCAAGAAAATTGGACATCAACTGTTTAAGCGGCAATTGCAAGTATATAAAGGAGTCTTGGGTTGATCTTAAAACTTCTTTTTGCAGTGTGTTTCTGGATACGTGGCACTGTACATGATTGGGGTCCTACAAAATCCATATACAAACGTTGTATGGAGTCTGTTGAATCAAAGGGTTCACTTTTATAATCAAGGTTCACTTTCACCCACACAATGATTTCGATGCTATACATTACCTTGGCTGAGTAAAAAGACATTACATTTGCCTGATTACAATAGGTGCTCTATTCACTCACTCAAACATTTTAATAATTTTACCGTGAGCAAAATTTACCTTCAGACTTCCTCCTCATTTCTTCCTCTGGGCTGCTCGCAGGAGATGTCATGGAACGTCGACGTCGTTTTGCAGTTAGCTTTGGCTTTTCATCTAACCCTATTAAGAAAGGTACAAGTGTTATTAATTAAGATTTAAAAGTAATAATTTATGACATATATAACTTACAGTCATATCTAGATATAACAGTCATAATATCCAGATCTAGATATTTCTAGATATCTATCTATATATCTACATGTATCTCTCTATCTCTATCTGTCTATCGATAAATAGGTAGATAGATGTAGATATATACGTAGATATATAATGTAACATATCTTTACTCATCTTACTGTAGGAAGTACCTGGCAAAACACGTGAATTACCATCTAACTTGTTAGCTTTAGTCCGCTTCCCAAGATCCGCTACCCCGCGTTAGGAAATCGAAGCGGACTAACGCTAAACAAGTCTGGACTCCAGGCTACACCTAACTAACCCTTTCCATGCTTATTCAACCGTGAATGTTTGTAAACAAAGGTAGTAAAGCGTTACATGGTAAAAGGTCTTTTTAATGGTGTGTTGGTCTAACAATTCTACGTACAAACTATTATTAAACGTTGCACGAATGTACGAATACACCTGTATATATAACTTGTACATGACACGTGTTCGCGAGATACCAGGCCTTTTTAAAAGGAGTAAAATTCGGCAGAAATAGTGTAGGCAATTGAGGGGGTATGAGGCGCAGTAATAGCAACAATCCCCCTTAACTGCGCGGCAAATACAAACTTCCCTGGCAAATTGTTCGACTGAAGGCCGATGTAGTTAGTTTGATAGAGTCTAATACACAGACTGTATTCTCACCTTCCTTTTCTTGTGCAGCAACCATCTCCGCCTCCTTTGCAAAGTCGTCCCTACCGATCTTTGTCATCAGATCAACAAGTAGAGAGAGGTCTCCAGTCGGCAACTTCCTCTTGCGTTCTAGTTTCACAAAGATCTCTTGCGGGTTCTTGTGTTCGATCTCTCCAGCTGGCAAAAGTTCTTCGCTCCCTACGTAGTTGCGAAGTGCCCTGCTTTCTTTGTCTTCGAGGTGCTGCGAGATCCGCAGAAACAGATCGTGACGGAACATTTCCGCCATTTTCAACCTAATATGGCGGACTACCCACCTGTCCAGTGAATGTGGGCAATGCCCCCGTAAGTTTCACTATGTAAATTTGGGGGGTGGGGGAGGACTTTTAGTTTTAACTCGCGTTCAGTTCTTTCTCTGGACATGGGCTGTGCACACTTTACGTACCCCTAAAACCCTTGAAAACTAACAGCTTTACTCTTACCGGACTTGCAAAACCACTTAAACCTAAACTTGATTAAGCAGGAAAGATTCGGGCCCCTGTTGTTCGTACCTTGGTAGGGGTCCATTATTGTTTCAAGGTTACAATTCATGTGCCGGATCCGTTACACCTGTATGAATGCAGGATAGAGCGCGCCCCTTAAGGTGAAGCAGGGTCACATTTCACAGGTGACAATGGCTGTGTCAATGCTGTGGGCCTGAACTGTGGTGGTTGAGAGATTTGTTGTTGTTTATTCGGAGTTACTTTGACTGAACAGCCCCTGGCTGCACGATACAGGAGGTGTTTTGAGCCCTACAAGTGATTTGTGAGGGATGTGAATAGTTTAAATACCATTTGGAAACAGCTTGGAGAGTGAATTTGATTCTAGTGTGCTTTTTTTTATTACAAAATTATCGACTGATGTTGACACATTGGCGCACCAAATCCCTAGTATGTTTTTAGCACACAGATAGACAGATAGCCTGAGAGGCTTGGTGGGCGTCACTCCACCGTACAGGTGGGGAAGTCGTGTAAAGTGCCTTTTCCAAGGGCACAACATTGGGGCATGGTGAGTATCAAAGCCGGGACCTGTTGTTTCCTTTGCGCCACTGACTCCTCTTTTTTCATAGCTAGTCGTTATAGTCTTGTTAAACCTTAATGTTCTTGAAGATGACTATGTTTTCTCATCATTAACTTAAGGTATTATTAGAATGTTACCATATTTTTGAAAAGTCAATCAAGAGAGAAACCCACATCGAAAGTTTATTTCAACATTTAAACAAATAGTTTGGGGTATACTAACATAAGTTATAACAGACCTTAATAAAACAGACCTCCAAACACCGTCTGACCTTTTGGTACAGGTAGCTATCATAACACAAGACAATAAACTTTAGCAACTTGACAACACGTTATCAAATTTGTAGGGCAGCTAGTATCCAAGACACCCAATACGCCCCCTGAGAGTTGGCTGGCGAAAAAATACCCGTACAAAAAGGAATGAAGAAGTTACTGATTTAATCTGGGACAAAGCACGGTTTTAGATACAACAGTGGCCTTATATACTATAGTATTGACTGTTTCCTATTTCCCAGGTCCGCCTCCGTCTTATGGAGGTTATGAGAACCACACTCTTAGGAGAAGAACGGCACTGAAACTAATCGATTCTGATAAGGTCATAGTGCGTTGTACAAAATTATGTGACAGTCTTAGTAGTGGTTGTGGTAGAACCTGTCCACATCAGTCTGGTGCAGGAACGTCAGGAGGAGGAATGATCCTGAGACAACATCTTGTAAAACAGCAGGAATTCTAGGAAGAGTTTCTGTGATTTCCTGTCATCTTTAAGCACTTCTGGGGTAAACATTATACGCTCTATTTCCAAGATACGTTTCCTCACATCACTGTTGCTATGATGAACCCCTGTAGGTGGTTGTTGCACCCCAGCAAGTGGTTGTTGCACCCCTGTAGGTGGTTGTGGCTGGACTGAAAGGCTTGGACCTGGACAAAGAGAAATTACAGTACATTGAACATCTATTTCTCATATGCATGGTACAAAGCATCATTCTGATCACAAGGTGTAACATAGATGCCACTGTGGCCAGGAAGGTCACTAACATCCAGTTGGAAAAATCTGAGTAGAGTGAAATCATTCCTCAGCTAAATGACATCTTTTGCACCCCAAGCATTCCTCAGTAAGATAGTAACAGATACAGACAGCCAGGCATTGATTATGAACCAACTCACCAGGATTCCCATCAGCCAGGCTGGCATACGTCATGTCTCCTGAGGACTGTTGGGTTCTCCTCTTCACTCTCTCAGCTATGGGAGCAGGCAAAAGGAGCTCATTAGAAACAGTTACTGCAATAAAGGAACATTGGCATTTCACTTTCAGAACTACGTGTGCCTGCGAAGCTAGTGTGTTACACGGAAGGGCGGTTATACTGGCTATACAGATACAGAACGGACAAAACAAGCACTTTGTGTGGTTTTTCTTCAGCATTCTTGAGAAATTTCATATATAAGCCATCTTTAGAGCAGCCTACAAAGTAAAACGGTTAAAGGGGTAGGAGTGTAATTTCCCAAATTGTTAGGGACTGTATATTTATGGCACAATGTTAATTGTCAAGCAATATTCCTGTCTTCTTACCAGGACCTCCACATGCCTGAAGTAAGTGTTGATGAGAATCCTCCCAGTATCTGGACTTCAGTAGCTTCTCCTTAAGGTCAGCTGCCCTGATGAACTCCGCTTCGGACATCCTTAGGACTTTCTTGATCTGACTTGCCCAACGTCCGACATCTACAGAATCATCACCCTCTATTTCAAGTATAGAGTGGTGGAATTTCGGGATGACCTTTTCAACCAAAGTGGCCAGTCCTGATTGGTTAGATATGAGGACTGGCACGCCGGCAGCCATGGCCTGCAGACCGACCAGTCCGAAGGGTTCTGCACGGGAGGGCATGAGAACCAGGTGGGCCTGCTGCATCTGTCCGCAGATGTCTTCCTGAGTGCAGTGTGGGATAAGTGTGGGGATCAGTTTTTCTGAGTTGATGCGGGCTTTGAGAATGGACATAGTGGCCTGATATTCCTCCTCACTTGTATCACAAATCCGCCATAGGAACTTCTCCTGACTTGTTTCTGCCACCCTTACCAAGGACTTGGCTGCAAGGTCGTAACCTTTGACCCTCTCTACCTTGTTGACCCTACCGATGGACAGGATGACTTTCTGAGTGCTTTCCACATACTGGACAGTAAGTTGCTGGAATAACTTGGCTGGTTCGGGTAAGAAGAGGTAGTGGGTTGGTTTATTGTCTTCAGGAATTGCACAGAATGAGATTTTGAAGTGTCTATATATGTTGTGTCCCACAGAGAACACAACATCTGCCTTCTCTGCATCTTCTCTGATGGAGTCTTCCTTCCTCCCAATGCCCATGGCCTCCTCATCATTCTTGTACTTGTCTGTATCCTCTGGTATCGTCCCGATGACAAGAACGAGGCTTGCTTGGGGGAAGCGCTGCTCCTGAATGGCTGCTGCTGCTTTGCTGGTGACCCCAGCATGACCCACAATCCACCCTACATCCTGTGGGAGACTGGGATAGTGGGTTTTGTGGTCAAAGGTCAGCCAATCCAGACACGGTTCTCTTTCGTCTTCCTTACTGCAGGTTGGGAGGATGAGCTCCACTCCATCAGCCTCGGCAGCCTTCCTGTCCTCTTCTGTAGCCTGCAGAACTGTGCAGTAAACTTTCCTCCCCGCCCCTGTCAGGACCTGTGCTGCCTCCCGGTTGATGGCAGAGCTTTCACCTTCATATGTGGCGTATTTGTCGATGACCAACAAAACTGACCCGAGTTCTATTGATGCAAAACAAAATATTACATGTTATTACATTCAGGTTTGAATAGTTGTAATCTTTCACCAATGTAGTAGTCATAATTGCATCATTCATTTCCATGGCAAAAGGGATACTAGAATATTCAAACTCTACCCCCTGAAATGACTAAGGAATTTTAACCTGTCAACAGCTGACCTGACAACAACCTGCACGAGGTGAGTCAGGCCCCTACTAGAGTATGCTGCACCTGCATGGTCTCCAGGACTCACAAAATCTCAAACCAACAAACTTCAACGAATCCAGAAGCGGGCTTGCCACATTATCCTAGGGAACACATATTGCTCCTACTCTTCTGCACTTCAACGCCTCGGGCTAGGGTTAATGGAAAAAGGAGTCCAGTCCGATTGGCGGAAAAAGCAGTCCAGTCCGATTTTGGGGTGGAAAAAGCAGTCCGGTGGTTTCTACAAAATTTTACGAAAGACCATAGGCATATTTTCTTGTGTGTGTACTTCTAGTTTCTATGGGTACTTCAAGTTTCTATGAGTACTTAGAGTTTCTATGGGTACTTAGAGTTTCTATAACTATTTAGAGTTTGTATGGGAACTTGAATTAGCATATATGTGACTCACTATATGCCGCCTTAACCCGTAATTCAGGCAGCCTTGGGTGAGGAATAGCGGACAACTGATTTACACCTCTTGAGACCACCGAAAAGTAGTTTCTATACATACAGGTCACCTATCCACAATAAACAAAAGTTAATTATTAAGGGATTCTTTCTTACAATTGTACTTCCGGTACTTACATGCTTGTCGGTGTAATGCAAAGTCTGCCATACGTGGCTTTAGCAGGGGCCGGCTGGATGTTGGGCAGCTGGCAACCGTAAAGCGATTTAATCAGGCTACTTGCAAGCAGGATCGGCCCTGGAAATCTCGTCAGTTGACCGCTTCATCTTTTGACTAATTATTATTACTTATGATATTACTTATATGTAAGTAATAATCCGGAGGCATGATGATGATGATGATGTGTAAGTTACAGACTGTAAGTTCCCATGCAAACTCTAAGTACTCATAGAAACTCTAAGTTCCCATACAAACTCTAAGTACTCAAAGAAACTCTAAGTACCCATAGAAACTAGAAGTCCACACACAAGAAAAAATTGTGCCTATGGTCTTTCGTAAAATTTCGTAGAAACCACCGGACTGCTTTTTCCAACCCAGAATCGGACTGGACTACTTTTTCCGCCAATCGGACTGGACTCCTTTTTCCATTAACCCCTCGGGCTAGTGTCACTGTCAGAGAGAAGAGGACTACTGCGCCAGTAACTAAGTTCCGAATTAAGTAGAGACTGGTTTACCCACTAGACTACATATCACTGGCCGAGTAACTATAGAAACAGTCACAAACTGTCCAGCCCCATAACAACAAAACCAACAGATACATGTACAGAAACTCTCCTGTACTGTACATGTGCAATTTACTCAACAAACCTTGACAATGTTCAATATGTTAAAAGTGATTTGATTTGATTTTGATTTTTTTTTTTTGAAATTGCAACAGTGCAATACACGGGGAACAGAGGCAGCTGTTGCTGGTGTTGTGTCCCGCACATAGAAACGAATACTGGACAGACAATAGTCTCATTTTCATTTGAGTCTAGCGGGGAAAGTCTTGAATCAAAGTTACATTGGCAGGGAAAGACATGTTGTGCCTTCCCTGAATTACATTATTTTTTCCAGCAAACTGGTACACAGCACTACATGTATCTATTACACATTATGATATACATGTTTAAACCAATCAGAAATCACCATTTCTTATTTTTTATGATGCTGTTATGTCAGCATAAGAGGTCTCTATTTCATAAGTGGTCTTTATTTCATGAACCTTAAAAATTTCATAAGTGTTGTGTTGTAAAGGACCACTAGAACACGCCGGTGACCCCACAGCATATGGATCACACGTTCTGTTTGAATGACCACTGGTTACGCCAAACGGAACAGGTAAAAACCTCAAGTTTACTGCCAAATATTTATTTTATTACAATTTTCACATACATGGAAGGCATGGTGAAACAGCTGGACATAAGGACTGTAACCTTTTCAAGGCCCCCATGCCAACAAGGACTAGTTAGGTCATACAAGTACATAAGAGTACAATACAATATTATATACATGAAATTATATTATAATTGAATGAATATATTGAGTACCCTTAACAAGGCTGAGTAGCACGGCTGGTGGTACAGCCAGGAGACAGTATCCACAAACAAGGAATCTCTACACTGAAGCATTGGTTAAGCTATCTTTGCTGGGGTGTTACACCGAAGGGCGGTTTTACCGGCTATACAGATACAGAAGCTGGTGTGTAGTAGTTAAGGGCGGTTATACCGGCTATACAGATACAGAAGCTGGGGTGTTACACCGAAGGGCGGTTTTACCGGCTATACAGATACAGAAGCTGGTGTGTTACGCCGAAGAGCGGTTATACCGGCTATACAGATACAGAAGCTGGTGTGTTACGCCGAAGAGCGGTTATACCGGATATACAGATACAGAAGCTGGTGTGTTACGCCGAAGGGTGGTTACAGATACAGAAGCTGGGGTGTTACACCGAAGGGCAGTTTTACCGGCTATACCAATACAGATACAATGGACTGTGAAATGAACATACCTTTTGCAGAGATGTTGGAAACACCTTTCCTCTTGCCACTCATTTCTACAATCTTACATCAAATTGCTCTGAGAAAACAACATATTTCACAACGTTTAATGGTTACGAGGTATTTAAAAACAACATATTTCACCTTACAATGTTTAATGGTAGGTTTTCAAAGCCTAATATCAACAGCAAAGTTTGTACAATACAGACACTCCAGGGAGTGGCCAAAAAATGTGCATAATACCTGGAAGTGAAACTTAACTGTTGATTTTAAAACTTGCTTAACAGAAGTCTACATAAGAATAAACAATACATGTGTAGATGGACAACCTTTCACTGAATATTTTTTTGAAGATGTTGTACTACTACTTAGTACTAGTACTTAAAGCTAACATCAGCATCTGATAATACAAAATGGTCGCTTACCTTTTCTCAAGACAACCGTTTCCTTGACCATTAAAGATGGCGGCGTCTCTGGCTTCTGGTCCAAGTGAAATTGCACAATGAAAACTTAATACAGCCTCTCTCATTGGTCACTTCTGTCATGAACCTGTTGCTTACTGACTGGCACTTGTCACTTTTGGCTGATTATTTCATGGTAACCCTTTCCTTAATAAAAGTTACTTGCTGCATTGATTACCCAAATGCATCAGAGATTCCACCAACAGACGTCTGTTTTCTAAAACAATGATCTTCAAACAAATCTATTCTGCACCAATAAAAGACCCCCTTACTGAATACCTGAGTGTGCAGGATCCGTTACACCTGCATGAATGCACCTGTAAAGCCAAACACACCCTTTGAGGTGGTGCAGGGTAGAATTTCACAGGTGACAATGGCTCTTTCAATGTTGTGGTAGTGAGAGTATGTTGTACTTACTTGCTTTGAGCCAATAGCCTGACTGGCCTGTTTTTAGCCCACTACTAGTACGAGGTGATTTGTGGATGTGAATGAGGCTAAATTTTATACAGCTGCCGGGCCGGAATGAATAGTTTAGACATACATTTGTAAGTGGAGGGTTTATAGGCAATACCAACTGACCTGGCCGAGGAGTCTTAAGACCTTTTTAGCCAAGCAGTTAGAGAGTCGGCGTGTGGACAGGTGCCCGGGTTTGGTTGTGGGTTCGAACCCCGGCCCGGGACCAGTGGGGTTTTATCTGTTTCTACTCGCTCCTCCTGTTTCATGTACACATTTACCATGCAACAATTTGGAAAGTGCAATTTCTATTATTTTTTTAGCTGAGTGGTAATAGTCTTGGCAAACCTTTCTTCTTGAAGTCAGACTCTATGTTCTCATTGTTGATGACGCAGTAGTGAAAAGTCAATAAAAAGACAAATTCATATTAAAAGTTTGTTTGACATCTTTAATGGTGCAACAGAATATTACTATTAGTTTGGAGCCCGGAGGTATACTATTCTTGCTAAGTTATAAGAGATCTAAATAGAACATTACTTCCAAGTACCTTGATCTACATTCAAAGCTTCGTGTCAAACCTAAAAGTGCCGCTGCAATACCCTACAAAGCCACTAGAATGCCCAAATTCGAATTTACTAGTAACCTTCTTTTTCCACACTACAAGCAATCTACTAGCCTGGTATCCAGTCTGATTCGTGGTCGGGGCCGCAAGAGCTCTGGCCCGCCCGCCTCACATAAGCTTCCCGGTGTGTATTTCACGAGAGATTAATTAGCCCTCCACGAACATCGTGTTGGGGGAAACCAAATCCCCGAGCATACCGTCTCTGATTAGCGTAACACTCCTACCGGGACGGTCTGTTGCACTGGGCGGGGGAAGTTCTTAGAGGCCCCGAAGACACAACCTGCCTATTAAACACCCCAATACCCCCAATCACGATCAGACTGGATACCAGGCTAGCAATCTACAGAAAACTGTGAAAAAAATAATCTACTCTTATCCCCTCTAGTCACATTCCATCATAAAAATGACCACAGCAGCTCCAAAAAAGCAGCTATATCGCTGAAAACTATGCCAGATACTTACTCACATCTACATGTATAACTGTTATTAGTGTTAAGTCCCACTCAAAAAACCGAGCATCATCCACCATGTCCACAGCTCGAGATATCATACCATGTACCCCGCTGCAGTGGTACCATAACCGCTAGAGTACCCAAAATTGACCTTTACCTCCTCCCAACCTCAATATCCTACTTACCAAATATCATACATCCTCCCATGGCAGGGGCAGCGGCTCCGCCCCTACCCCTGCCTGATTACATGGCATCTTCTACTCTACGACCCGAGGAATATTAATATTCATGAGCTTGCCTTATTTGGCATGACCCCATTTCTGACTTGGGCGGCGAAGGGACGTCACCCTCCCCGCCGGCGACTCCGCCGCCGCCCGGTGACGAGCCCGTTAACGCGTTGGGGAGGCCGTGCGGGGCAAAGTCACCGAGTTAACACCTTCCCCGTGCTCGGCGGGATCCGCGCGCAGCCTCCAGCACACGCTAGCGCCCCGCCGACGCCCGCAGCGGCCTGCATCGCAAAAGTTCTCTTCCCGAGACGACGCCATGTTTGTTTTTATTTGTCACTGAATAGCCGACATGATTGGTTCCGATAGCTAGCGCATCTCATAAATATTAATGTAAAGTGCGTTGAAGATTTTCTCTGTGATACGTGATTGGCTGAGAGCGTGTCCCTGGAATCGGGTCGTAGAGTAGAAGATGCCATGTAATCAGGCAGGGGTAGGGGCGGAGAAGGAATTCGGAGCCGCTGCCCCTGCCATGGGAGGATGATATCATAAAGATACATGCACCACACCCAACTTATCACCGATTACAAAATCAGCAGCCCTGTACCTAAACACATAACCACTAAACCAGGCACATTTCTGTAGAAGAAGACACGGAGGGAAGAGATGAAGAAAGACTGAATGCGGCTACAGGACATTTCCACACGACTGTAGACGCAGAACACAGTGGATGATGATGATGAGAATGAAGGTAAGAAAAGCTGATCCAAATTTAACCAAACCAACTTCTTACGTCATGCGTACTTATGATCAAGTGGTGGTCAGTTTTCGGTGCGTAAGATGACCATGCCTCTGACCTCATGATGTGGCTAAAAAGTCCAAAATTCGGCTCAGAAATCCATACCAAATCCCACGTCACCAGCACGTGTCGAGTTGGAGATGTGTCGTTCGTCCGTCAGGTTGACGAGGAGATGTACACACAACCTCATGGGGTCAACAGCGGTCAGTGGCCCACGGTGACCTCCTCAGAACAGCGCATCTAAATGCAAAATTTCATGCACAGTATGAAACAACATAAACGGACCAAATGACTACTATATGCTGTACAGTACACATTAGAATTTTACAATAATACTATTGCTTATTAAAGTATTGTCACTTCATATTTTTGTTGGTAATACGACAAGAAATTGTTTTTATATACAGTCGCGTTGATCTGATGCTGTCACAAGTTCCAAATGCGGTCAGCTGTGGCCATGCGGTTTGTAACATGTTCGGTTTTGTACTGAAATTCTTCCGTATCTAAATTTTGTGGTCTCCGGCTTTTGAATACCATAAAAATAAAGATGGTGAACTTCACGGAGCTGAATAAAGAGGTATGTGGGAGAGATTTCTTACGTTATACTCATGTAGCATGCAGGGATCGTAAGTGGGGAGGGGGGCACTCACTGTACTAGTAGTCGTGCGAATACTTTTGTTGGTTAAAAAACTCTACAGCATTAAAATTGAAGGGATAATTGGAGAGGGATTCTAAGTTATACGTACGAATTATTACTGCCCGAGTGTAAAAACCTGTAACACTCGGGTCTGAGTAATTAATACAGTTGCAAAGTATGTGGTTACTTTATAACAAAAAAATTATGCATGTAGACTTTTCAATACTTTAATCCTTTCGTTCAAGTAAAATTTTTTATTATTGCATGGATGAAGATGAAATAATTGCTGTTGCTTTTGTCCTGGGTTAAAGTTGACTTGGTCTCTAGACATGTTTTGTGATAGCAAAAACTTCTCTCTCTCATGTTTTTTGTACCATGGTAACCTTACTGAACCGGCTATCCCCTGTTCCTGCCCCCCCCCTGCAGATCGTGCTGCTCCGTGGTGATGTGAAGCGAGCTCGGCTGCTGCTGATCCAGACTTTGTGTCGGAACATCCGCAAACTCAGGGGCAAGAAGTGAGTGGAACAGAGACTCGTAGGATGACCAATGATAGATGTGAACTACGTCAGATTCATAAGTCAGTGACTGCATGGATGAGTGCCTGAGTAGTAGCCTCAAGTCCTAACTTACACCTGAGTTACACCTCATCCCGTCCTGACTTGTTACACACCATGCATCTTGACTGTTACACCATACAAGATCTCTTTATTGGAAATCGCAGTGTTACCACTGAATTAAAACCAATTTACAATTCAAAGTAAGGAATCCATTAAAAGTTGATTACAAATGGACAAATTATACACAGACATTACAAAAATAGGCACGTTACTGTCCGTGCTGGTTTACAAGTCTAGTCATGTACGGCACACACGAGTTCAAGTACTGCTTCGTTCTGGCTTTCGGACCATGCATCTTGCATGGTGTAACAGGTCATTCGGTATAATGTAGCCAGCTGCCGCTGCACCGCGTGCCTGTGAAACTGGTGTGTTACGCTGAGGGACGGTTATACTAGCGATACCAATACAGATACAGATGTATCCTATTCAACTATACAAGTACATTGAGATAATGATTATATCCTAACATCTCTGTCCCCAGAGGAAACCCAGCACAACTGGCAAAGAACCAGCACCGTGCTGAAAAACTGCATGAAGACATCACAGTCCTGAAGGTGTGGATTCTATCAGGGTTTTACTACTACTAGTCCTTCATTTGACGGAATTTTGTCACCAATGCATGGACAAATATGTCTACTTGCAATCCAAACAAACTTATTATAAATACATGTACAAGGACAAGTCAAAAAGTTATTCCATTTTTATCAAAGCAGGTTCATTTTTATAGAATGAGTTGAAATTTGATGTAAGGGTAAACGCACGTACACTGTACATGTGAGACTCATTTTTTTATTTTTCAGCTTATTTTCCTCAGATTTGTATGAGTGACTTACATGAACTTGAAGTTCCCAGTTTCATGTGTTTCTCTTTCACTCCAGGGTTTGAAGCCTGATGATGTGACAAAAGCTGGGCTGTTTGCAGACTTGGATGAGCACAAAGTGTTGAGTGATGTAAGTTCATTTTTACACTCCCTACTTTGTTTGTTCTATGGGAGGATCTAAGGTAAGGTGTGTTCTGATGTGTTGTCACCCACATATATGTACTCTACAGCATTTTCCGCTGTCCCCTCAGGTGTTTTTCATCATGTATAAAGTTTTATGCCCATTGCCAGCAGTAGAAAAAAAGTCTTGTGTTGGCAAGTTTTGATAGGGTTGGTCTTGTACATGGAGACAGAATTATTTTTCTTCAACTAAGACTTGGGTGAATGGTAATATACACTGTTTATTCTATGCAGCCATCATCCTCCAGTAAAGAGAGAGCCATGGCCAGACTGATCAGCCACAAGGCACTGAGGAGTAGACTGGACACAGTCAGAGGTGAGTTGAGCTGTCCAATACCAAGTTTGAGAGATAACTAATATCTGTGCATCTTTATAAAACACTAACTTCGAGTCATTTTGCAGTATGTTTCCCTTCCAATATTTTATGGACTTTTAGAGTAAGAGCTTCAACTTCACTAGCTACACCTCATAGAGGAAGAAGAAGAAGAGATTAATAGCATGCATCTTTCTGGTACTTCTTCTAATAGCTTATACAATGTTTATGATCTTATCTAATTGACAATGATTTTCTATTTTTCTATAATTCATAAAAAAGATGTTTTGAACATATTACTGTTGAATATGTTGATCTTATACAGTATGTGAACTTTAAGTAACATCAATTACCTCAAACTTCCAGCCAAATTCAACATCATTCCAGACCAGAAAATTATCCCTGAAATTCAGATAACTGTCAAGGACAAACAACCAGAGAACAAAGCTACAAAAGCAGCAGATAAACCTGGACAGGCAGAAACAGAAAAAAGACCAGCAGAGAAAAAAGACAACACACAGACTGAGTCATCCATTGAAAAGGTTCAGCAAAGTAGTGATGGGGGGAGCAGTCCAAGTAGTGTTGGTGAGGCGGACAAATTTTGTCCAAGTAAGGATGAGGCAAAAGCATCAACAGAGCTTCCAAGCACTGCAGAAATCGTTGTAAGTACCGGAAACAAAACTAGTGACAGTGATGAGGAAGAAGAAGAAGAGAAAGAAGAAGAAGAAAGTGTAGAGGAAATGGAAGAGGATGATGATGATGATGTTGAAAGTGAAGTGGAAGAAATCCCCAGTCTGGAGACAGAATCTTCCATGGAAAGCAGAACTGAATCACAACTAAATCTTGAAAATCAAAGTAGAGAGAGCAACAACAAACAGACAGTAAACAGAACTGAAGCCACAGCTGTGAAAAGAAAGGGTCCCAGAAAAGCAGCCTGTGATGTAGAAGAAGAGGATGAAGAAGAGGAGCAGAAGGAGGAAACAACCGTTACTGAAGGAGATGACATGTTCCTTAGGGAAGGGGACCCAGATCCTGAGGAAGACTTGGAAGGAAGAAGGAGGAGTCTTGATTCAGGAGGGTCGTCAGAAAGAGCCCCCTTGGGGAGGGCACCTCCAGGGGAGTCTCTGTTCATCGGCAGTCTTGCTGGGAGAACACGGAACGTGAAGAAGGGGAAATTTGAGAAAAGGATGGGAAAACGGCCAACGGAAAGGTACAGTAGTGCATTTTCGTACAGTTACACAACATGATTCGTTCCCTGGTCCTCTTCATTATTCCCCGCTCCACACTCAACTCATGTCTTCATGGTCTGTGTTTGGAGAAAAAAAAATGGTATCCACTTTCTATTATTGGGTGAAACATATAATCATGTTAAATGTGTGCCTTGCAGCATGTTTTCTGTTTGTTCTTATTATCCACTATAACTGAAGAGTGTTGATTTTGCAGAGGGACCTCACACAAGTTTGCAACCAAAGGGAGAGCTCAGCATCCACCCAGAGTGCCAGGTATATAGCAAAGCTTATTATTTTCTGCCTAATCCTGTCATTTGAAATAAAGACTAAGCTCTAACTTCCAACAAGGGAATGAATTGGGACTTACCCAAATTTTTGACTGATTCCATCAACCCTGTCTACTCGAAAATTCCCAACAAAATTCAACAAAAGGCCCAGTTCATTCCCATGTTGGAAGTTAATGTTTAGTCTTAATTTCATAATGACTTGTACCAACGTTAACACAGATGAACTTTCATCCTAAATTCTGTCATTTGTCTTTTAAATCAATTGTAACACAACTTTACTCCTGGGAAAATTCAAACTCTACTAGTACTACTGGATAAATTACTGAGATAATATCCGGACGTTTTAGTGACATCCACCACTCTTCTTCAACATCACTAATAAACTAACAGAACTCCATAAGGCATATGTTTTTATTTTTTTATCTCTGTTCTTTATTGACTTGAGTATACAATACATGTGTACATAGATGATAAACCGTTACATCACATTCATCAAGTTCTGTCTGATTGAACAAATCTTTCACTTGATTACTCAATTAATTGTCTGTCTGATACCTTTACATTAATGGCAAAAGATACAACTTGAAGGGCATCATAATCATAGGATAGAATTAAAGCCATAAGGCATATGTTAGCAACTGGAAAAAATGGTTGAACGTAAAATAACTTTCTTTGCCCTGTGTTCCTCAGGTGGAGGTAGAGTAGTGAAGCCTTCTGAGTCGTCAGCACATCTCCACCCCTCCTGGATCGCCAAACGCAAGCAGAAGGAACAGGCTGGGCAGATCACTGCCTTCCAGGGGAAGAAGATCGTCTTTGATGACTGAGATGTTTCCATTGCAAAGATAGCAGCAGGAGATATTATATACTGTAGATTGATATGTCAAAGAAGGTTAGACATGCAGGTAGAACAACATGTGATACTACTGTCTTTCATCAATGACTGAGAATGTTAGCATTGCAAAGAGATAGCAGCAGGAGATATTTGCAGTGTAGATTGATATGTCGATGAAGGTTATACAATAGACATTCAAACAGGCCAAACCAATACAACATCAACATCCACTATATGATAAAACTGTGCATAATACGAATAGTATATTGCAGGTAGAACAATTTGGATATCACTATTTTTCATACTCATTGTGTATGACAGTGATTGACAGTGATGTTACTGTCATTTTCAGTCCCCTATGAAAGAGAGTAGATGGTATCTTAAATGCCTTAACGCCTCAAAGATTTATCTAGTTTCTTGATTTATTCTTATTAATACATTATGTAGTGTAGATTGATAATAAAGTTACTGTATTTCTTCTTTCATATCCAGATTCAACAGTTTATTATGATTTACATTGTGATACCAATCATTTTCTGTTACACCATTTTTAGTTCTCTGTACACTCTACAATTTGTAATTTGCATTGTGAGAATTGTCACATAAAGATGTGTTTCAATCTGCTTGTGGCATTTAGTCTCTTGACATCTGCCGTACATGTACATGTATGTTAGGCCACACCAATTTCATTTGATGTTTCTCAGATTTTTTTCAGAAAAAATATGAAGCGACAGGAAAAAAAACAGGCCAAGGCACCCTATGATAGCCAGAAATGTTACAATATGAGCCATGAAGTAAACATACCAGGCTGGTTTATAATGTAAACAAAGATTTTGAACTTTTAATGAAACAAAATTGCATTGTTAAATTGAAAAACTTTAACAACTAGGAAAAAAAGGACTTTCTTCAACTGTTGGAGCCAAAATATGCCTTTCATTGAGCATTTTGCAGTTGATTTAGAACAATATTTTTTTTGGACAGGGCAAATCCGAGAAACAAATTAAATCGATTAATACATATATATATATATATACCATGTATTGTCCTTTTGTGTTATAGCAGTCCAAGTCAGGTTTATGTACATGTAGATACATACACACAGGTTTCCCTATATACATACCTGGCACAATGTCAAGTACAGGAGCCTTGCCATGTGTACATAAGGTCCTGTGAGGTCCCTGGTGTGCAGGAGTACGCATGAAAAATTGATGGACGGAGTCTTACGCCCCGTAGGCACCCTGAGCCACCCACTCACACCGTTCTCCTGGGAGCCGAGCCTTGGCCGCTCTGTCGGCGCATCTGTTTCAATCTAGGCGGGCTGGTTATGGATGAACATGGAATACCGGATTGACTGGGAAAGGGTAGGACAATACATCTCAATAGTGGGTAGGGGAGGGTTGGTATTTTAACCTGCTAACGTGTGCCTAACCCTGTGACAAAGTGGCTACCTTAGCAGGCTGAGGGTTAAGAATGTATAAGTGTGTATGTGTGTGCTCCCTTCAAGTTATTAATGAACACGGAATACCGGATTGACTGGGAAAGGGTAGGACAATACATCTCAATAGTGGGTGGGGGAGTATTTTAACCTCCCTGCTGCCTAAATGGCTACCTTAGCAGGCTGAGGGTTAAGATTATGTACAAGTGTGTGTGCTCCCTTCAAGTTATTGATGAACTAGGGATACTGGCAAGACTGGGAAAGGGTAGGACAATACATCTCAATAGTGGGTGGGGGAGGGTTGGTATTTTAACCTCCCTGCTGCCTAAATTTCTACCTTAACAGGCTGAGGGTTAAGAATGTACAAGTGTGTATTCCCTTTAAGTTATTAATGAACATGTAGTACCAGATTGACTGGGAAAGGGTAGGACAATACATCTCAATATTGGGTAGGGGAGGGTTGGTATTTTAACCTTGCTGCCTAACAATGTGGCCAAGTGGTTACAATGTACATGCACCTTGGAAAGTTGATGGTTAAGATTGTACACAATAGTGTGTGTGCTCCCTTCAACTTATTAATGAACACGGAATACCGGAAAGACTGGGAAAGGGTAGGACAATACATCTCAATAGTGGGTGGGGGAGGGCTGGTATTTTAACCTCCCTCTTGCCTAACTCTGTGGTCAAATGGCTTCCGTAACAGGTTGAGAGTTATGACTGTGTACAAGTGTGTGCTCCCTTCAAGTTATCAATGAACACGGAATACCGGAAAGACTGGAAAAAGGGTAGGAGGAGGGTGGTGTTTTCAACTTTCTCCCAACTGCCTAACCCCATAGTTTGATACATGTCAATATTGGGAGATGGTGTTTTTTAACCCCCAGCTACCTGTGGCCAAATGGCTACCTTAGCAGGCTGAGAGCTACCCTATTGCGTGCTCCTTTCAAGTTATTAATGAACACAAAATACCGGATTACTTGGGAAAGGGTAGACCAATACGTCTCAATATTGAGAGTTAGACGGTGGAGATGCAGCCTATCCCTATACATGTACATCCCTACAAGCTGGTGTGTTATGCTGAAAGGCGGTTATACCGGCTATACAGATACAGATACAGATACATGTGTAGTTCAATACATCTCAATATTGGTATATGCTGAGTTGTATTTTAACCTACTCCCTGCTGCCTATTTTAACCTACTCACTGCTCCATAACCAATACAAATTCAGTGCCAAACGGCTACATTAGCATGTTGAAGGTTAAGCCTGTATTTGCACTTGCTCCCTTGAGTGCATCAGCTTTGAGCAGTGTTTTCATTCTTCCATTTTTACATGCAGCATGCTTCGTGGATGCATGAAACTAAATGGTCCCACTGAAAGAACTGGACTCATAAAAGACATATCTGTAAGCATTCCATGGGCTAAACAGCTTAGTCAGTATGTTTCCTTCCTGTTAAGAACTTGAATAAATAAAGGCTCAAACAAACCAAAAGTTGCATTGATGACAGTCATTCAGATAGAGGGTTAATACATCATACAAATTAAATATTACTATAGAAGCAACTGATAAGTTCTCAAAAGGGTAAAAAATTTCAGATAGCGTCTGCTATCTTTCATCAAACTAACAGATTACTATAGCTATATACAACCACACAATCTCAAGCGCACCTTTATTATTACCCAAGTATACTCTTATTTTATGTGAAGCATTTAATAGTACAAGAATATTCCATTAGTGCAAATATTAGTGCCAACCATCTGTGCGATGTTTAATGGTACCAGTGAGACTCCCCTGTGTTGTGTGTAGAGTCGCTCCATCCGTTGCTAATGCGGTTTCCCCAGTGAAGGCCTGTCTGTGTACATAATTGAATCTGGTGTTGTACGTTCACTATGAATCTCTGTCAGCATGGTAGGGCCCAGAGAAAAAATATTGTGTTTCTTGGGTTTCAAACCTGAAAAACCTAGGGTCCAGCTATGTAGAGATTGTCTTCTTTGTTTTATTTGAACTTGACTATTATTCTTTAGTCATGAGACGCTCAAATCGGCCTCCTGGCTACTTTTCTAGACTATAGGCTGAAGTGATCCAAGAAATATAATTTATCAATGTAAAACTGAATTGCCACAGGATCAAGTCTGTCTTAAGCAGCCATCCCTCAAGTTGCTTGAGGAGAAGGAAATATTAGCAATATTTCCCCCAACTTAATCAACGAAAATTTGCTTCAAGAAATCCCTCCAAAATCATTTAAATGTAGATATCAGATGGAAAATTTAATGAACTGTCCCGTGGTCGAGGGCAAAAAAAGAGTCGGCGGATTTTTGGTAGGGTCAGTCAGGAAACCAGAAACACTACAATTTTTTTTTCTGTCTAATGTCAGTATGTGCTACATAATTGGATCTTGTGTAGTGTGTTCAGCACGGATGACCCCCAGCATGTTAATGAATCAGACATGGACCTCTTCATCATCGTAGGTCATTTTTTATTGATGTCGGACTTCATTGCAGTAATGGCCTGGAATGTTCAACTTCCAGTCTCGGTCAGACATACGTGTACGTCCATGTCTTATACATGGCCTTTATTAGGAGGTGTAGTCTGGTATCCAGGCCTATTTTAGCTGCTGAATCTCTTTCATCCTCTCAGTAAGTAGAGAGAGAGAGAGAGGACGAAAGAGATTCGTCAGCTAAAGCAGGTTTGAATACCAGGCTATAGGAAATGATCTTCTCAATCTTATATTATACTTTGTATTCGTTTTTTTTTTTACATTTTTTTTGCTGACGTACATGTGTAATAAACAATACCAGCCGGATACCAGCCTTTGTAGCTTAAGCACGCTCTTTCTTTTCTGTGGCAGGGACGCGACCGAGAAAACTAAAAAGGCTGACATACAGGCCAAACCAATACAACATCAACATCCACTATATGATAAAACTGTGTATAGTACGAATAGTATATTGCATGAGGTCTTTTACATGTATACTTTTGACATACATGAAGTTGATTGACATATGTCTATGAATATGTTAATGATGATAGTGAATGAAGTGTTCTTGGAAACAGAAGTTCTGTAGTTTCCTACTTGACTGTACCTGTATATTTGAGACAATGACATCTATAATAGTAAATGACATATTTTCAGAATGTTGCTTTCCAGACTACTTACGCATATTTTAATTGTTTACATGAGTGTTTGTTTTTGTTTATTTGAATTTGCCATTGAATACAACAGAGAGGAAACAAAACAGATGATAGAAGCCGCCTTTACAGGTTATCGTCTCAGTAAATGATGTATGCACACTCATAATGAATGTGACTAGGATAATACAGTCATGGCAGTGGCAGTTCTTGAGTATAAAGATGAGGTTTGTATTCAGTAGTCCCCACCAGACTAACTAAGCACACTGAGAAATAGTCAAATTTAGCCAAATAGGAAGAATAATTTGCCAAGGGAAATAGGGTTTCCAGTGGGAATTTTACCCTTAACACAGGCTTTCTCTCCTGGCCAATTCTTCACTCCATTTTTGCCAAATTCCACTATCAACACCCCATTAGGGAGGCCTGGTGGATGCTATGTGTATTCTGTACTGTATCCTATACGGCATCGTAGCACCCTTGTGGAATATCGTTCTCAGTATATTATAAGGTATCAGTTGCAGAAAAGTGCATGGTGACACGAGGATGGTGCTCAATATGTGATGGCGTGTGCGAGAAAGCTTGAAATGTCAATGACTGTAACCGTGGCATATGGAGACTGTGTGTAACGTAAGCGTTATTGATGACATCTGGCTGTATTAGTGTATCAGTAGGCAGTCACTCAACAATATTGCACCAACGCAGTTTGGACCGACTCACAGGATGCAGAACATTGATGGTAATCATACGCAAAATTGGACTAGTTAAGGGTTGTAACTTTTAGAAGGATAGTCAAGGTTAGTCCGGGAACAAGGGACAGGGACAAACAACTTTTCTGGAGCGAACATAAAAGCTCGTCTGATTTGGTAAATTTTGTATTATATAACGATGTTGTCCAAATTTAAAAAAATAGGGCTCACAGGAATCGCCGACTGAGCCGCTTAGTCTGATAGCTGAAGAAGACTCAGAGATTTAGTCGAAAATTCCGGTGAGTCCATCTTTCTTAGTTGGGGAGCAGTTCAATTGTTCTGTATAACTTTTCAGCAAATTAACATCCCGTGATAGCAAGTAGTCAGCACATGGCCTGGGCACTAATTAGACGGGTAAGCAGTGTACTGGTAGTGTTCTATCTCGCTGTGGTTGCATGCCAGTTGTAGCTAGCCAGACAGCAGCCTCTGTGTGGATGCCAACGGAAGGTAATGTAACTGCATTACTATGGGCAAATGGGCTTTCACGTCAGGATCCCACCAGTCATCCACCTTAATTAGTTCTCGGTCAATCAGATGATTGCCTCCGCGAAGACCAGAAAAATGTCGGGGCACAAATTATCTGGTAGCGCGCCATGAAGGCAGAGCGCCGGAGACAGGGGGAAGGGGCTGCACATTCATCAAGGGCCAGGGTATTGGCATATTGGGGGCAGAGACTGGAAAGGCCACCCCGGCAATAGATTCTGGAGGACACGCTTCCTCACTACCTGCCAAGTGTCATCCGGTCGGTTTGTTCGCAGTTGAAGTTCTTGAACCCACCCTGAGTGAACGTGTAGTGGATTCAGCTGGAGAAGGCTTTTCTGATTCTTTCGTTCTGTATTTAAATTGCACCAGGTAGCAATTTCTGATATCTTGCGCCACACATTGCCATTTCTGTTCACTGAGTTGGTCTTGATAAATAATCATTCCGATGCGGAATTATAGATTTTCTGCCGTAGCGTTATTCCAATCGTCCCAAACATTTATATAAAGGGCAGGGAAAGAATAAAACGGCACGGCTAGGAGCTTAGCTTGATGTTTGAATGATTCAAATGGAAAACGTAACAAGCAGTAAAATGGCCCGTTTCTTGGACGTTTGCCACAGTCATTTAGATATCGAGGAATTTACCTTCAACGCTTGTCAGGCATGATATTTTCACTGACGTGCGATCTTATTTCATTAAAGGTGAAGATACAAAATCTAAAAGATGATACCGTTAGACGATAATGCAGGCTTGCCGATTAAACTGTTCGCTTTTATTCAATTTACTGGGCTGCTGGCAACCGTTGCTGACTCGGAGCCAAGTCTCCCAGCCCCGCCAGCCAAATGTTATTACAGGTGGTTCGAATCTGATGGGGTTTGACTTCCGCAACTCAACTCTATGATATCGACAGTCGTGGTGGACTCTTTAACGTGCTTGAATTATACTTAACGCTATACGTTGATGAGCAATCTACTACTCAAAAATAGTTTTCGTCCTTTTTTTACGTCTTGATTGACAATGTACATCAGACGGTCCTGAAGGTTTTTCGATGAGGAGGTCCTACAGCTTGAGGGTTTATGTTGATGCCACGGGTCACGGAACATGACACTATCTTTCTCTTTTCTTCTTTTCGTCCGAATAGATTGTGTGTGCCTTGTGGGCAGATGGAATGGATGTTTGGCACGCTGTGTGTATGATGATGATGACTCACATATATCTAAAAATGGATGAAGTGGATGGGTATGACGTTTTACAGTGAACAACACCATTCTTTCTAGGCTATCGAAATCTCGATATTGTGCCTTGTACAAAACTGGTTATATGGTTCATAGGATATACTATAAGTGTCAGGGTGACTCGACTTCTGCCTTTAGTTTCCCTCACCGCATCTCAGAGCGCGGAGAGAGAGAGCATCACCACCGTACGCGTAGCACGCCATTTAGGTTTGTATCGTTTGTACGAAGCGTTTGGTTAAAACTTGCGGCTAGTGCTGAACTAATGATCGGTCAAGCTTCTGTGTCACTGACTGCAACGTACATACCTGATTATGATTCGGTTCTTATTCTCATAAAACAGAAACGCATATTCCTTAAAAAGGCAGTAATAGGTAAAGGACAAGGAAGGGGTAACATTGCAAAACCTAAACCAACCAACTAACCAACCTACCAGATACTAACAAAACAACGTCAGCATGCTGGCGGGTCAGAGTTGATGTAATATTGTCGTTATTTAAAGTTCGCAACTATGGGTCGAGGTTGATCCATTTTTTTCTTCTCGTATCTATGGCAAGGCAAGCGTTGAACTTGGAAAGCTTTTCTGTTTCACAATAAAATAGTATAATTAGGCACCCCCCTGGGGTAACACCTTGAGCTCTTGGTCTCTTACATCATCATTATAGAGACTTATACATCTATTTTCATGACTGCGTCACCAAGACAAGATGTGTTCCGCAGGGAGTGTGTGTGTGTTTGGTGGAGCAGCTTCAGGCATGCTGTGCGTACGTGTGGCCACACTTGCACTGCTTGTTACTCATGGACGAGCCCCCGCTGTTCGATCCGCCGGAACTCGCCCCGCCGGACTTGGAGCCCCCGCCGCTGGAGGGTTTGTCGTCACCGGATAAGCTCAGAAGCCTTGAAGGACGTGATGAAGAGGCAAGACGTTAGCTGGATTGTATATTAAAGGGACCAGCAAGGACATAAAGAATGAAGACATTAGCTGAAGGTCACAGGCAAGAACTTAAAGAAGTAAAACGTTAGCTGGAGATCACTGGCAAGAAATTAAAGGAGCAAGACGTTAGCTGGAGATCTCTGACAATAAATTCAACATGTTAGCTGAAGATGAGTAGCAAGAACTTTAAGGAGCAAAACTTTAGTTGAGATCACTTGCAAGAGCTTAAGCCCCCGCCGCTGGAAGGTTTCTCGTCACCGGATAAGCTTAGAAGCCTTGAAGGACGTGATGAAGATACAAGACGTTAGCTGGATTGTATATTAAGATGAGCAAGAACATAAAGAATGAAGACGTTAGCTGAAGATCACCGGAATGATACTTTAGACGCAAAGCGTTAGGTTAAGATCACAGGCAAGAACGTAAAGGAGCAGAACGTTGTCCGAAGACCACGGGCAAAAACTTAAAGAAGAAAACGTTAGCTGAAGATCACTGGCAAGAACTTTAAGAAGCAAACATTTAGCTGAAGATCACTGGCAAGAACTTAAAGAAGCAAATCGTTAACTGAAGGTCACCTGGAAGAACCTAAAGAAGCAAGACTTTAGCTGAAGATCACTGGTAAGAACATAAAGAAGCAAGGCGTAAGCTGAAGATCACTGGTAAGAACTAAAGAAGTAAAACTTTAGCTGAAGATCTCTGACAATAAATTCAAGAAGCCAAATGTTAGCTAGAGATCACCAGCAAGAACTTAAAGAGGCGAAACTTTAGCTGAAGACCACTGGCAAGAACTTAAAGAAGCGAAACTTTAGCTGAAGACCACTGGCAAGAACTTAAAGAAGCAAGACGTTAGCTGGAGATCTCTGACAATAAATTCAAGGAGCAAAATGTTAGTTGAAGATCACTAGCACGAACTTAAAGAGGCAAAACGTTATCTGACGATCACCTGCAAGAACTTAACACAGGCGTCTTGTGCGATGATATCTTCACATAATGGATTTTTTCGTACACTTTTTCGAAAATGTCCATTTTTAGAAAGGTATAGGTTTACCCCTGTTTGTAATTCTTCTTTCTTCTTGCAAAGCTTCAAAGTGTCTATATGACAAGGATAAATGACTAGGGCTTCTTACCCTTTGAACATTGCGAACCCCTGTTTAGTTATGCAGACCTCTTCATTATTTCAACTCCTGTGTGCCCCCCAAAGAGCAGTGTAACAATATTACGATCTTTGATCTCAACAAGGCTGCTAGTCATCAATCAAACCCTCAAGCCACCAGCTCAAACACCAACCCATCGATACACATACAGATATTCGTCCTCCACTCCCCCCCCCCGCATGGAAGGAATGCCGGCTCCTACAGTTGAGTTATTCTGAGCCAGACTGGTTCCCTAGCCTTGTCGACAGGAAAATTAGGCCCCCAAAAAAGCGATTTCGTTTTTATATGCCCCGATTGACGATGTGCATCTGACGGTCACAGAGGTTTTTCGATGAGGAGGTCCTTAAGCTTGAGGGATGATCTTGATGCCCCCCTCCCATCTTTGCCCTGATGAGGTTATGAATGAATGAATGAATGAATGAATGGTTTATTTCGATACAAACTACACATCGTACAAAACATACAGTAGCAGACATTATCAGCTGAAATGATGTATGATTTACTTTATATACATTGTTAAAAAGCTCCACTCAGTGATACTTAGGTAACGTAGGCAAACAACCACAAGGGACAACTGTTAAAATCAGCGCAAGATAACGACATTAAGTCTAACTCCAACGCTATAAATCATATTCTCTAAGAAAAACATGTCATGCATAAACATTAGTATAAATATAAATATACATGTGTTACTCGAGGACTGTCTTGGGCTGTTCGGAGTTTAACAGGTCCACTAAGAACGGCAATGTGCTCTTCCTATATCGTTCCGTCCTACATTTAAACTGTGTTATCTGTTTATCGGGATAACCAAGATGAAGATGAAGATGAAGATGAAAACGAAGAAAGGTAGGCGCCTTAACACTTACCTGCCGAGGAATAAGAAGCCCGCCCCTGCCTCCTGCTGACTGAACTTCGTACACTTGTTGCCCTGGCATGCTTTGCAAGCCCCTCCCGGCATTTCTACCCTGCAGCAACACAACAGACACAAGTTTCACTTGACACTGTGAGGATTTTCGACACTGAACAAGATTGTTTCTTGAGAGGGGCGAAGGAGGCCATGTATATACATCAGGGCCCATCACCCTTCATTGAACCGCGACGGGGGCCGACATCGTCTACAAGATACCTTTGACCCAGTGTTGACGTCACACTTCAAAGAAGCCACGTGACAAGCTTCACTGGATCTGTCTATTGAGGAAGACCAGAGTGACTGGTCGAAAGCTCTAGGTGAGAGAACATTTTGTGTTGTACCAAAAGTTTTAACTCTAAACAGACACAAGTCTTTATTATCACACCTTTCCTGTGGCTCTTGTATCGATATATCCAGAACCGTGCCTATGTAGTTCTGTGCCTGAATGGTTTATCCTTAAGGTTAGGAACAGGCGCGGTTCTGGATAGTCTCCACGTATCCAAGAACTTATATTTGCCCCCAGGCGCGGTTCTGGATACGCCTGGACTATCCAGAACCGTACCTGAGTATGGGTCAAGCCAGATATAGGAGATTACCATACATGTACGTAGTGGCATACATGTTTTTACATTGGAAACCTTGTTGCAGGGGGAGATAATGTAGAAGATGATTAATTACACATTCTTATTTACATGCTTCACCCATATTAAAGGGAGACAGAAGCTAAATGAATGCAATCAGTTGTAAAACCAACATAATCTCACCCAAGACGAGTACAGAAACTTTCAATCTACTTGTCATGTCCTGTATCGATTTTATTACCTCTAGGCGCTTTACGGAAAAGGGATGGTATATTTGGGGATTGTCTGTGGGAGGATGACGAGACAACAAATAAAACTTGACCAATTGCAAGAGCGCACAGAACGGCACAACAGAAGTACATTACCGTACCTTGTATAGTCTGTATGTATGATTTTAATGGTATGATTTATGACTGTTTTTAATACACGGAATGACGACCATGATTTTACTTCACTGTCTAACGCTTTAAATCACACAATTCAGCCTTAGCAAGTGATGGCGCTGTATTTGAACATAATTCTGATTTGTGTTTTGAAATAAACCAATGATATTTACAGACATGTAACCTACCAGTGCAATGTCTCCTGTGCATTCTATTACTCTAGTATGTAGGTCCTGTTTACTGTAAATGTATCTTTCATGGATCAGTAAGTGATTCTATGCAAGAGAACAACACATCTGAGAATTAGGCAGTTCCGTCCGGACTGTGAAGATTGCATGGGCAGTTGTTGACTGATGCCTGTTCCAGTTATGCCAACACTAAGCCCTGCCCATCCATTATACATCGTGTTTGAGGCTATCAAGTTTTATCGGCCCTTTAAGCATTTAGATCCGGAACCGACAGTTCGGTAAGTCTATCTACTCATTCTACTGGCACCTCTTTCTGAGGTTTGAGATAAGATTGTCGCCTCGGCAGGTTATCATTTACAGTGTTGCCGGAAGACTCGCTTCTTCACTGTCACTGATTCACTATCTCACACTCGCTGTGCAGTTTACAGATTTTATGACTGGTTTATTTATTGAAACTTTCCAAGTTACAGCATCGCAGTAGCCCTTGGCAGACTCACTGAATTGCACTGATCTTTTATATAGGTTTACTGCGACTACCAGTGCAAAAAATCCTTTTAAAAGCACCACATATGAGATAAAATATAACGTGCTGGGTTAAAATATTACTATTACCTTAATTCAGATTCAGACAGTACTCTCCAAGTAGAGGTTAGGCCTGTTTTGACGTTTGTTTCTTTTAAATTTTTTAGGCCATTTCACCAGTTTTCTTTGGCTACCCTGGCCTACCCAACGAGCAACACGTCAAACATCTGCTTGGAGAGTGTCAGGTAGATGTTGGTGACACCTGATCCTCAATTTCAAGTTTCAAGTGTTAGTCATAAAAATCAGCCTTGCAGCCAGTGCACCAACAAGCTGACTAACACTGATTTTTTTACAATTGTGTAGTAAATACAAATACAAATTAACATTACAATACGTATACAGACACACAAACAAACACATTACAAAGCCACACATGGGCACTAAAGTAAAGAGAGTCCCGAGAGTCTTACTGCAAACACTTGTTGTACAGGCATATTGCCATGTGTTAGAAAGAGTTTTTCAGTCTTTTTGTACGGGCTGCTGGTACTGTTTGCACTACGTGAAGTCAACGATGAGTATGATCAGTCCTAACCTCAGTGTACAGTAAGCCAGTAACATCAGACAGATATTGTAAGCGAATCAATATGTTATAGCTTGTCAATTTGTACATAAGTCTGCCAATTCAGCCTCTAGGCTGCCATCGTACTTGTCTTTGATTTTAACGTGAAAAGTTTATTGCAAATACATGCCTGATGGCTAATTGCAGTTACAAAAAACATAGGAAAGAAAATACAGTGGTATGTGAGACTATATCTACAATGTACGTCTAGCATTATACTATATTCTACAACATACATGATACTAGTTTTACTGGGTTTGACTTCTTTTTTTAGGCAATGGAAGACGAATTTACAGTAAATAAATAACGTTGCTCTTCAATCATTCACAAACCTGATGAAATTATTCACAGTATGATCGTTCCACCGGGTACCCTGAGAACGGTGGATTAAAAGAGATCTACTGATGCATCATCAGTAACCCCCGAGGTCTGCACACTAAAAATATCCAGGCGTTCAAACCATTCCTGCGAAGGCCTCTATCATCATTATTATATCATATTTATCGCCATAACGTATCTCACTGTTGTTTTACCCATTTATCTCTGTATATATGCCTCTCTGTTTCAATGTTAGGCAAGAATATGGGCCTTTGGTGCCTGCAATAAAGAATAAATAAATAGATAAAATATAACACTGTTATTGTTTTGGTGCTTTATGTGGTTGTCTCAGGGTGCCCGGCGGCATTATTTTATGAGTGCTGACATTACACACATGGTGCACTGGGGCCCACAAACTGTTTATGCCAGCCTGGCCTGTACATATTGCACCGACTATGAGTTGATTGCTGTGTCTATTACCGGGGCTCCATACATACATACATACATACATACATACATACATACATACATACATACATACATACATACATACATACATAACTGTTACATACAAGTCCACGAGTCTGGCACTAGTTTATGATAGATACCTGATTCCGTTAGTCACTGACGAAAAGCAGTTGATGCTATTTGAAACGTCTGACAGTTTTCAAAATCCATCCAGTTGCTTGAGTAACAGTTTTCTTACAGTGTATCTCATTACCTGGATGTCTAACCTTCATCGACATAAGGCTGGTACATTAGAAACACACGGCTCGTAAAGAAGAGGCAATAACCCTATTATGAAGGGCAATTCAATATTAGGACGCCGTTCAAAGTAGGACGCTATTTATTACCATCGATCGATGTGATGTTAAAAGTCGCCGTTAAACAGACGCCAGGTTGATAGAGTAAAAAAGGTCGGAGGTTTTGATTTTGGTCATGAAACGGCTGCTCGGGTTTTCCTCGGTTGGTTAAAGGAGCACTACAGTTGGGGGAAGGGTGTTATCTTCTAATAGATAATGATCTTAGAAGTACATGAAGACATTGCATGCTACTTCACAGTTTAAGATAAAGTGCCCATTAGTTGCGAGCACAAAGAAATCATCAGTACTCTTTAAAAACTCTCAACCTATCTTCTAAAGGATCCCAGAACGCGCTGCGTCTTTGGCGTAGTGTGGTTGACAAAAGGTAAGGTTAAACAATGCATCATTGGCATATGACAACTACATTTACTATAACAGGCATCAAAAACAAAGGAATAGGAAATCTAAAATCTGCAAAAAAACAACAACAACAACTCCGAGACATACAGGGCTACATGGCGTAAAGAAGACACAGTGGAACGAAATGAGGAACGAGTGTCTGTAGCCAGAGGTTGTTTGAACAGCTACACTGAGCTAGAGAGAACACACAGCATCGTACAAAGGAAAGAAGGAACTGGATAGAGGTTTTGAAACCCTTCAGACGTTTCAAGTAACATCCACTACATTTCGCCAGTGACCCAGTTTCCTCAGTTGAGTAAATGTTTTCTTGTTCATCTGATTACCCGGATGTCTACTCCCATCAACATACGGCGCAGCATCATTTGTATCCTACTCTCCAAGCAGAGGCTTGGGCTTTGGCCTATCTTTGGCTTGTTTTAGGCCTTTTTATCGGGATTTGATTTTTGTAGCGATTTAGTTTCTTTTTTGTGCCAGTCAAATGACTGATGGTAATTGTCTGGCAAACGGATACTGCCTGGCAGCCACCAAAATATTAGCCCCCATAGCATGTCAAAAACTGAGGGTTTTGGGGGTCTTCAGGGTCTTTGGGAGCTTTTATAATTATGTGCTATTTTCTGATTGCATTTTGACAACATAGCCGGCCTGGTTGAATTACCCCCGCTTTTTGCTAATCAGAAAACAGCCGAAGACCACCAAACCCCCAGTTCAATAAGCCTGCTACGGCGGCTACCAAAAGATCTGCTTGGAGCATACTTCCCTCCAGTCCAGTTGTAAAGTCTCGGGAAATCTTTACTTGGCTTGTCAACAACTTCGCCTCGTCCAGAAGCGTTCCCTCGGGGAATCAGAGTTAGTGTATTGGGTCAGAGTCAATTAGGTTTAGTGTATTTCACCCGCACATTTCGGACGGAGAAAAGTGCCATTAGGGATTACAATAGGAGGGGAGGGAACAACACGGCGGAGAAAGCAATGGCAGTTTTAGTAACCCGTAAGCATCATTAAGGCCCAGGAAACTTGGACACGGTCCGACAGTGCTGGGGTAAAGGTTCCGGGAGATCACATTTAACTACTGTAGAAACAATGCCGGGCTGGCGTCAGCGTACAGCGGGGTGAAGCACATTACAAAAGACCCGAGCCCCGGCCACATACATCGCATCATGCACGTACTAGCAGCTTTTTTTCGTGCCACGTCGTAGGTTTGAGAAGAAACTGGTGTGAAATCTT